CCCTTATTTTAATAAACCGACCCGACCCAGTACCATCATACTATATTATAAGCGGGAACATGTCAAGTGAAAAGTTAAAATACCAAAATGTCCTTACAAATCTGAATGACACTATTGCCCGCCCTTCTATTAAACAATATTGTAAATATTTTTGGACATGAATGTAAACACAAAATTATAATAAATAATATCTTAAAATCTACTATTAAATGTTAACAGAGTTTATTACCGCATATTGGATGTATCTAAAGACTATTCGTTTTTCAAAAGTTAACCTTTTGCAGTTTCAGAATTCTAAGTTTGGCTTTTCAAATTTCTAGAAGATTTTAGATGTCTTATAGTACATCAATTTTAATAAGGAGACATATATTTAACAAATTAAAAGTATTTTTTAAAGGCAACATGTACAATTACTGTAGATTCAAAGATGTTGTCGAAACATTAGAACAACTTTTTTGCCCTTTAAAATTCAAATAACTATCCTAAATTAAAGTACAAAAATATAATTTCAAATGTTTGATGTTGGATTTCAAGAACTAACTTGGAGTGGTAGGAAATTTTTTAGTTCCTTTAACAATAATTGTACGTCTAATATGGCAATTAGTAGTTTCACCTTTATTACAAGAATCTACAGGAGGACTAAAGGGCTAGACGTTACCTTTGGAAAAGAAAGAGAGAGACCAAAAGGTAATGTAATCTGAGTTTTGAATGGTATTCGGAGCCATGGTTCGTTTCATGAATGCAACATTAAGAGCTTAACAAGAGGTAATGTAATCTCTTTGGATACATAATGTAGCTTTTGGTTCTTGTACATTTTGGAAGCATAATGACGAAAAAAAGATAATTCAATGCTTATGTTTGATGTTGGTTGGACTTCCAATGGATTTTTTGTGTGGATAAAATCATAAAAATATTCATATGATGAGATCTCATGTATTCAATTTGTGTAATAGCAAAGTTAGTTTTTCTGTCTTTTGTCTCAACTATTCCCCCCCCCCCCTTTCTCCTAACCGCTTTTAGCTTATAGCTTTTGTTTGTTTTTTTCACTAGATAGCAACATTTGATGTATTGTTGTTTCACACAATATCTTTGCCATTTGCTCTTACTTTTATGATATTACAAAATTATTGAATTGTTTGTTATTTATTTTCACTTTTCACTTTAATTACCAGATCAAGATATTGTTCTGAGTTAATATTATTGCTTTAATAAAATTAATTAATTTGCTAATATGTGACAGTCACTTTCTTAATTATCAAAATTATTTTGCACAAAAAAACCAAATAAATCCTTAACAAAGAATCTTAAGTTATTAAATTTACACAAATTTCATATCCATTTTTTTGGATTTTCTGGAAAAGATATGGTCATGTTTCTTTTTTTCTTTTCTTTTAGGGTATTACATATATTTTAATCTTTTCCTTTTCCAATTATTTTCTCAAAGAAGTATATAGGTCATATATTTGGAGTGAAGAATTCTTATGAACAATATAAAGATGACTCAACAGTTTGTGCTATTGGCTTCTAAAGAAAATACACAACTCATAGGCTATAAGAATTTAAGGGAACCGTCAGTCATCAGATTTTTTTTTAAATTGAGTTAGCTAAATAGGAACAATATTTATTAATTGTAAAAAAAATTCACTTTTCATTTAACGACTTCAATTTTATAATTGAAATATATTTTTGATAACATTTTATGTAACATCAAAATTTTGGTACTCATTGATATGGGATACACGCGCATCGCGCGTGTCGAAAAACTAGTATTTTAATAAGCCCCTATCCTATTTTATTTCCCCCACTCTCTCTCTCACTTCGCTTTCTACTCCCAAATCCCAATTTCTCCTCTCACTATAGCTGCTCCATTAGGGTTCTTTCCCAAATTGACATAATTTCAGAATTACTTAGGTAGGGTTTATTTCTTTTCTATGTTCATGAAATGTCGCAAACATCGAGCTCTTCTAACCGGCGTATAAGAAATTGTCGATGTGGAAATGTTGCGCTCCATCTCACTTCGTGGACTCCTGAAAATTCTGGGAGACGTTTCTTTAGGTGTTATAAACCTAATGTAAGTTAATATTTTCTTTTAAATTTTCAGATTTGTGTTTATAGGATTTTTTGGGTTTTTGAATAATAATCAAATTTAGATGTTGTGTTGCAGCCAAGACCATGCGGCTATTGGGATTGGGATGATGACGAAATTCATCCAAGAACCACTATTGTCATTAACAAATTGAAAAGAGAAAAGGAAACTCTTGTTGGTGAAAATGATTACTTGAAGAAAAAAGCTGACTTTTTTTTTAGAGAGAAACCATGTATTTGAAGAAAAAGGTTGTTGATGTTTAGCTTGAAACTAAATCATTAAGGGATATAGTTGCTGATTTGGAGGCATATTCTATTATTAAAAATCTCCCTTCCCATACTGAAAATGATGGGAAGAAGAGAAAATATATTTGTTATGTTATTGTGCTTCCTTGTTGAGTTTGTTGTTGGTTATGTATTACATAGTTAAGTTATGTAGGTTTTGAATATTAGATGGAATGTAATCATATTTTGTGACTATATGAATGAATGGAATGTATGACTTTATGTAAATTTTGCTTGTGTAATTGTTGATCTTAATGTAATATGTTTGCAATAATCTAAGTGCAAAAGTTTAACCCAGAAAGATGGTTTGAGCTTATAATGTGCAGCTTAGAACGACTTTTAGTAAAATTTCTACACTTGTTAACAGTGTGTATCTGCAAGAAGTTCAATTATGCCTGTCAACTCAAAGTTATTGAACAAATATACCCTCCACAGGTTCCAGCTACACACCAACAGAGGGAGTCGACTACAAACATTCAAGGGAGTTGAACATACACAACCTGAACATACAGTCTCTGAACATACACAATTTGAACATACGCAACCTAAGTATACACAATCAACATTTAGCACAATAGTCTATCCTATATATTTTTGGCTACAAACCAATAGACAGATTTGGCTACAAACATTCAAGGGAGTTGTTCTAGCTATGATAGTGCATATGAAATTAGCAGCACTATATAGGGGCTACAAATATTCTGATTTGTCACAATTCAAGGGATTTGGATACAAACCATTAGCCTGAACAATAATCTAAACAACACTTAGAACAATATTCATTTGCATAAAATCACTTCAAGTCAAATAAGAGGTTTGAATTCACCAAAAACCAACACCTAGAATTTCATCAAAAACCAATAGCTTGTTAACAAAAAACCAACAACCATAACAACAACCTTAATGTAAGTTCTTAACACAAAGACACCTACCCTTCACAATTTGACGCCATCTTCAATTTCTTCTTTTTCTTGCTTCATCTTGGATATCCTTGAGTGTGACAACTGGTTTCCCCTTCCAAGTTGCCTTAGTTGGTGAGTAAGAAAAATTTGATGGAACTGCCACACCAACTGCATCTTCACAAAATTGAATTCTTCTTGTTCCTGTTGGTGGCGTTACATTCAGCTTTCTAACTGCAAGTCTTGTTTCTGATTCAACAATAACCAGTGGCCTTATAGGTGGATCTTCATCGGTACCAATAACAGGACCATAGCCTTGTGATAAACAAGTAGTGGCATAAGAGGATTCTTGTGTCTTTTCTGTCACAGGTTCACTGTCAAAGTCCATTCCTTCATCTTTGGGAGTAGCAGATGCAAGTGAAAATTCTGGAGCTGAGATCTGACTTGAACCACCTTTCTGGTATTTTTTTCCTTGATTTTGAAGTCTCTGTAGTGGTTTTCTCCTAGCACCCAAAAACAATTATTAGAAGTTGTGACAACTCCCTTGAATTGTGACAAATCAGAATTCTTAGAAACCGTGGCACATCAGAATTCTTTACCTTGAAACAACCCCTAGCATTGTGGTTTTCACCACCACAATTGCTGTCTGTCATCACAACTCCCTTCCTTGAGTAACTCCACTCCCCAACCCTCTTCTTTGCTTCATCTAGTTCCCTGGTTCTTTTCACTCTAGGTCTGCCCACATTCTTGGAAACATCAGGAGGTTCCATTGCCTGAGCTGGTTCTACTTTCCAAAATTTCCCCCTAACTGGCTGGAGCTTGTGATTGTAAGTCAATGAATATGCTTCTTTGCTATAGTACTAGTGGATTTATGACAGTGGCTTACCCTACCAAAGTAAAAATATATTAGTAATTAGATAACATTAGAATGATTCAGTGAAAGATAGTTGTGTCTCATACCTTGTCATACAATATAGCCTTGATTTCATGGGGGCATGGGATACCAGATAATTGCTACACTCTATTGCATCTTTTCTTTTTAAGATCCACAATATGTCTATCATCACCTTCACTAATTTCATATCTAAAGTCGCCATTAAACTCAACCTTGTAGTAATGTGCTATTGCCTTATAGTCATTATACAACTTCAAAGCATATGGACTGAAGTCACCATTCTATTTACTAATGTCATCTCCATTTGTAGCCAACAAATTCATAACCTTTATCCTTATCTCCTCTAATATCTTGATGATTGGCATATGTCTTGATATCAGAATCCATGCATTGAATAATTCAGTGAAATTATTGTCAACCATCATGTTTTTACACCGAGTATCAACATATGCTCTGCACTAAGCTTGTGGTGGATAATGCAATAGGTATTTAGCAGCAACAGTACCATAAGATATCTCATCCAACTTCTTGAGTTGATCTTTGAAATCTTCTTCATAAGTGCTCCAAGCACTCCACTATAAAAGTTTCTTCATCTGTTCACTTCTCCATTTTTTCTGCCAATTAGCTTCAATATGTCACACACAAAACCTGTGGTGAGCATTAGAAAGTACATTCCTCACATCATCAAGTAAACCCTATTGACAAAAGAAACATAAATGTGAGAAAGCAAAATAGACAGAATAGAAAAAGAAAACAAATAAAAGATGAAAGTAATACCTTTTGCATATCTGAGATGAAAGTAACTCCATGACCATCATTTAGATCCACAGAAAGCTTCAGAAGCTCGATAAACCATCCTCAAGTTCTAGCATTTTGTCTACCACAACCCATGCAAGTGGGTAAAAATGATTCATGTTATCTTGACCAATAGCCACTAGCAACTGGCCCTTATATCTCCCCATAAGAAAAGTACCATCCAGCCCAATAAATAGTCTCAAGCCATCTTTCCAATCCATTTTCAATGCATTGAAGCATATATACATCCTTAAGAACTTTCTTTTCCCTTCTTCAAGAACATCTTTAGAAATATTAATTACAACATCAGTGCCAGGATTAGATTGTCTAAGTTCTTGCCCATAGGCCTCAAGTTTCTTGTAGTCATCAACAAAACTGCCCTCTAACTTCTTAAGTGCCAAATTCTTGCCCCTTTTAAGCTTAGACATGGACACATTTAATTCAAACCCAGTCTCTAAATCATCTTTCATTTCCTTCAGGCTATATTGAGGATTGTACGACACTTTTCTCTTAAATAGGTGTGCTAAAGTATTCTGATCAACCCTAGGATTTTTGAAACAATGATGACATGTATAGACATCTTTCCATGTCTTCATTTGATAGCTATCACTATTGCCATCCTGTGAGATATAACATCTAAATGGACAATCAGTAGCACACTTATAGCTAGCTCTAGTTGAATCAGTTTTGATCACTTGCAACCCTCTTCTATTAGCCAATGCATAGAAGTTCACTGCCCTTCTAGCTTCTTTAATATCCTTAAATGTCATACCTAATTCCAACTCCTTAAAATGTTCTAACCTATCAGTTACAACCCTTTTTTTCTTTAATAATAGCGTCAAGTTCTAAATAATCATATTCAGAACCTTCTGAATCATAAAAAATACCACCAACCAAACTACTTTCACATTCAGAAGCTGCATCAATGTCTACATAATATTTCTCTTTATGATGAACAATATTTTGAGCAAACACCCTAGCTTCAAACTCATCCACAGCAAAAAAGCTAATCACATTGAACTTTTTAGAGAATAAGTACTGAAGAGTCCTCACACCATCATCATCAGTTACCAGGTAGTACCTCCCCGAAAGTCCAGTCACTAAAAGCTGCTCGACTGAGCTAAATCCTAAATTTTTGGTAAATTCTTCACAAAGACTTTTATAGTTGACAAGGCAAGCATAATAACCCCACAAAGTGTACACATGCTTCTGATCATATATTATTTCAGGTGAAAATACTCAATTACCCCCATAGTGCAAAGGAATAAAAAGAGCGACAAGTGAGAGTCCACAACAGTAAGTAGAAAGGCATAAGCAGGACCACAATCATTTCGAGTAAAAGTATTTCAAAAATATACGGTAACGAAGGACCACAACCAGACAACAAAATCATCAATTACAACACATTATTCACTTTATTTTATTCTTTAGTAGGATAAAGTGGCATAAAGATATCAATAAACAACAACCCCATTATAAGACAAGAAATCCTAACCCCACATATAAAATACAAATAAACGAATTTCTGACCCACATATATAAAAAGGAGAAGAAGACAAAAACATAACATACCTGTTAAAAGCATCAAGCTTTCGACTTGTCTCTGAAAACGAAACCCTAGAGGTCCAACTTTGTGGTGTGGTCGGCTGAGGAGAAATTGGGATTTGGAAGAAAGCGAAGTGAGAGAGAGAGTGGGGGAAATAAAATAGGATAGGGGTTTATTAAAATATGGTACTGGGTCGGGTTGATTTGTTATTTAAATTAATGTATAGATGGCTTGCACTAGATTGTGACACATGACAAAATCTGGTGCTAATTATTTTATTAGGGTTGTCCGCCTAAAATATGGCATATGTGAGCCACCTTATACACGGCAAGGGCATGATTGAGACCACTTTTTGACGACGGGCAAATGTGCCTAATTTCGTATAGTCCACTAGCATAAATGGGCCTTTTTCGGAAAAAGTATAGTTTCAATCAACATTGTTTCTTTCACTAAATTACTCTGCAGAAAACATCTATTTCAGAAGCTTTAGCGTGAACATTACATGTAACTAGAGTATCAATCTATCAACTACAAGAATTCACTAATTTTGGCCTGTTGAAAGAGGACTGGTATTGCAATAATTACAGCCACTATTCCCTACTAGCATTTCCTTGGCATCTATGAGTAATGTGTGATCTGAGCTGCCTAATTTAGCACAAGTCCAAAATAAGAGAACCCAGGATAATGTCATCAAACATAATGGCGAGTTCTTCTATTAACAAGTTCAAGCAACAGTCGAGAAGTCTCCCCAGATTCATTTTCCAAATGAAGATTGTGAATGCCTTGCTCTGAGATGGAAGCTCGAAATTCCAAAACACATCTGTGAGCTTAAGTTCCATTCAGGAGCCGGAGTTCTGTTCTTCATCTTTTTTGCCTCTCCAGAGAATAATCTGCTCATCTTTGAACAAGATAGGAACACATGGTACCAGATCCTGAAATTAATTAAGCGCGGAATGAAACTTTCACAGTCATCCACAGAAAAAAGCGGGGTGATGCGGGGTGGGGATGAGGACACATAAAGTATGAACGAACAAGTTTTCAGAGAATGGGGGAGAATCTTTATCCTAGTTCAGTAGTTATTTGCCTTATTGTCACAGATGGACAGATGTAGAGGTAAACTGACAATTCCTGAGATAAAGCTTCATTTTTTAAGACCGAAAAGGGGTAACCAATTTTTGTTTAAACATTGCAAGGATATTTTTATTTACATTAATAAAGAGTTGAAAGCTGATGCAGCATTTATGAGTCATACCCGTAATTTAACACCGATTCTTTTGCAGTCGCTTGTACCCACGTGGGTACAATCTAATCTAATGACTTCTTCTGTTTCAAACGCTACTCTGACTTTGTCCACCACATACACATACACTCCATTTCTGCCTAGAGGAGTAACATGTAACAATCAGCAATTACAGAAGGCAAATGTTAACTTGTTCCCGATAAAGAGGAGAAATTAGGAGTTTAACTTGGACTCACAAAACACAAGTTACTCACTGAGTTTCGTTAAAGGAGGAGCATTGAGCCCTTTGTTCCTCATCGCCTTCGTTTCTTCAAATGTCAGGCCATCAGCAACATTCTTCACAAGCTTTGGATATATTGGAGCCAAAGGCTTCCACAGCATCACAGGAACAGTAGGTCTACTTTTGGGATCATAGTTTCGACCACGATATAAGAGTAAGATATTGATATGGCGATAGACAACCTTTCCACCTGATTTGTCCTACAATGACACTGTGCGTTGCATCAGCAGCAGAACTGTTTATTTTCTTTTTGTGATGAGTCAGCAGAAGTGTTCATTTGTAAAAGGTTAAAGAAATCAACATTCAAAAATATGTGTCAGCACTGGCATTTAGATCACAAACCTCGAGATGAGAGCATACATTATCCATATTAAGTGTTGGCACCCCCAAGCACTTAATCCTTACAGCTTCAGCCCTCTTCCAATGGCTATGGATGTCTTCCAGCATATTGTGTGTAACTCCACCCCGCCCTAACACACAGTAATGCCATGATAACCGTATAAATGTGGATCAAATTGAATTGAACGCAGTGGTCATTATACCAAAAGTGGATGTCAATGAGGATAAAAATTATATTTAATGATTTGTGAAGCTGAAGCCATGTATGCAAGAATATCCACTTAACTCAACTACTTCAACTTGAGTATTATTTGCGGTTACAATATGAAATCTTTGGATTTCTTCCAATTGATTCTTCAATATTCAAAGAATTCATCCTAATAATTGACTAATTTTATGTCGGCCATCAACTTACTTTCAGTTTACCAAGCTAAGATGGAGTTCATATACACGATATACCATAACTTTTTGGGGAAGTACATAGTAACAAAATGTATTCAGAATGCAAATATAAATGGCTCTATTTTACATAATTTTATCACAAAAGGCTGGCAGTATTCGATATTCACCATATTAACTAAGCCACAGGAAAAAAGGACTAGTTCATTTTGCTTCAGTAATTTTATCTTTTGGCTTATATCCAAAAACTTACTCCATTTTTTGCACAGGAAACTCAACCAAATTGGGTGATAGATAAACTGTAACTTAAAATAAGTTAAGGGGCATTACTGAAATTACCCAAATTTATTTGGCGAGAGCAATCATCGTGACGATACTTTTCAACTAGCTCCGCCGTTTCTTCCTCGGAGAGCGGTTCTCCGAGAACCAGCCGCCGCTCTTCAGCTACTTTCTCCAAATCCCCCGACTGTAAACGCGGAGCTGAAGTCCCGGTCCATTTTCTATCAAGCCGTCCCGGTCCAAACGGAGAGAACCGGGTCGGTTCACGGAAACCAATTGGCTCGACCGCCGGGTTGGTCTCAGAGTAAGAGTATCGATAATCAAAGGGCAAATCGGAATTCACAGTAAAGTTGTGAACTTTTTCACAATCTTCAGTGGATGAAGCATTCTGTTTCTTTTCTCCTTTTTTCTTTTTATTGGGTTTCCGGGGTTTTAAGGTGGGAGAAAATGGAGGGTCGAAATCTTCTTCCTCTGGCTGAGAATGGAAAAGGAAATGGGGAATCTTGATGAATGATAAAGAGGGGATACTGGGGATTTTGGAATAGAGGGTATTCTGTGCTTGACGGGTTAAGTGACGCCATGGAAATAGCTTCGACATACTCGGCTCGTATAACTTTATTGCTCTGTGTGTCGAAGCTCTGAAGAGCAAGAAAACTTGGGGACAAGTTGGTTGATTACGAAGTGTTGAAGTAATGTGGAGAAACAAAAATATAAATTGCCAAATCTCTTTTTTCTTTTTCTTTTTTACGTATCCGGTGTTTCTATGGACAATTTGTTTGGAAGAAGTTTTTGGGATTTCTTACAAAGACAAAACGTACTCCATTTGATAATTGTTATTTAAGAAAGTTCTTCAGTATTGCCTAAACAAGTTTTTACAAAGAAATTACTTCTCAAACAAATAAGGTCTAGGCCACTAAGTTTTAAAACGTGTTATTAGAGTCCAAAGTTTGTTTCCTTATATACTCCGCTTACAATGTTGAGATTCGCCTTTCCATCGTTTCAAAAAGGTGAGATTTGACTAAACTGAAATGAACGTTAAGGTTTGCATTGCCATCGTCTTAGAGATGTAAGAAAAAGGTTGCACAGAACTTTGAGCATAGGCCAATATGACTTTAAAACGCATCACTAGGATATAGACTTGTATCCTTTAATTCAAATGAACGTTGAGGTTTGCTCGCTCAATGTTTCACGCAGAGTTTTGCTCTCATACAATTTATAATAGTATATGCAACTTTAAATGTTTCACGCAGAGTTTTGCTCTAATACAATTTATAATAGTATATACAACTTTAAAACGCGTCACTAAAGTCTAACGCTTGCTTCTTATATACCCAATATCAATTTCAAATGTTCCTTCGAAGTGAATTTGCCTAGGGTATTACACTACGCGTCTGATTCTTATTTAAAACAAGCTTCTAACATCTACATAAGTGGAATGTGTTATGACAAAGATTTTGCATAAGGGAATGTTTGATTCCCTTTTTCTTTGTGGTAATATCTTTCAATTTGAAGAGTTCTTGCCCATGCATGGATTTCCTAATTTTAAACTTATTTCTCCTTTTCTTGCCATGCTTGTTCTCTGAATTGTAACAGTACTGCGAAAGAGTGTTCATTTTGAAATAGTTGAGAGCATTAGCTGCTTCAAAGTGCAAAAGCAACAAGAGTCAGAGTACACTGAAAAAAAATACAACACAAATTGAACAATCCTTGTACTAGCATACTCATTGAGAAAGAAGATTGGATGTGCTCAACTAGCAATCCAAATCAAGTTCAGCAAACTTAAGAACATTCATTTAAATTTTAGTCACAATTAGAGAGCCTTTGCTTCAGTCTATCATCCTTGCATCTCCTCTGATCTCCAACCATGGACTCAAATACATCCAACAAATGATCCAATCCTTCAGAATCTTCTTCCCCAACAGCTTTCAAAGCATATACAATGCTCTCAATTGTGGACAAATATCCAGCTCTAGGTTGATGCCTTACTTCACTATACAAGCTCAGCTTCTCTACATCCAACTTCACATGTGGCAACACCTTTAACCAAGGATTCTCATTATACATTCTCTTTGCCTTTGCCCATGTTCCATCCAGTACTATCAGATTTTTCACTTCAAAATCTATCTCCTCCATGCCAATCGAGTTTTCACTTGGAAAAAGCAGCACTGACCCTGGAGGAACTGCAACTTCAAACTCCTCCGATTCTTGATACTCACTGCTCCCATTCAATGGCTTTCTCTGTAACTTTTTTACTAAAAACCCTTTTCGTATATCATCAGTAGCTGCTCTAGAGCCAAATAGCTTACTCAAATCTTGATTCTGAAAGGAACAATTTGCACCATACTTCTCTATAGTAAAAGAAACAACAGCATTAATATCAAAGTTGGAGTCTTTAATGTTTATGCTACTCTTTTCATCCAAATTTTGAGAAGCCATTTCAAGATTTGAGTTCAGCAAACGTATAACAAATTGAGCTTCATAATTAACATCAGAAACTGAGATTACACTTAGATTTTGCAGACCTATAGAAGCAATTCTTGTTGAATTGAGAGGGTGTTTTTTCTCTAGACTGTGTTGAAGGATTGTGACAGCCACGGAGTTTTGGAGACATGGGGTCTTCAGTCGGGTGCAGAGACAGAGGCGGATCGGTTTTGAGCATGATGGGCACATGGGTCTCTTTGAATGACCCGATTCAGTCACCATTTCTAGGGCTTGAGGCAAATTGTGAGCTCGAAAAGGTAGAGGATTCTTTCGGGTTAAGAAATGGTTACCACCTGGCAATGAAGCAACCCGATTCTTGAATTGCAATTTCATGTCTTTCACAGTTCCATGCTAACAGATTTTTTCGGGTATGGTCGAAAAGGAAATAGGACAGGTGTGACCCGACCCTGGAAGATGCAGAACGAAAGGAGATGACGAAATAAGTCCATGGGAGAGAAGTAGAAAACATATGTGAATAAATGACAAAAATCGTCCCTCCTGGTTGGGGTAATTACAAATGGTGCTATAAATATACTTTGAGCAGTTTTAAATCTCTAAATTTATCAAAAGCGAGCATTTTTGGTAACTATCAAATAGGAGTGTCAAACGGGCAGGTCGTGTCGGAGGGGTCAAAAGCTGGTAATGCCAAAATGTATAAATATTTGACCTAACTCATATTTAATACGGATAAAAAATGGGTTAACCGGCGGATCTATATTATTCATGACTTCTTGAATATGATCACTTTTGAGAAAATTCTTAGTCTCCTAAACTTGAGGAATCCCAATTTGAGAGTTTACAAATATAAAAATTAAACCTATTAGTTATCCATTGGTTACCCATTGATTATCCATTTTATAACTGGATAATATGGTTCTTATCTATATTGGACCCGTTTTTAAAAAATTCATTATTCAACTCATTTTGTACTGGATAATACGGATGAATAACTATTTTTTTAACCATTTTGCCACCACTACTGTCAAATATTTAACAAGATATGGTTGTTAGATTTAACATGAATTGTGAAATATTTTTTTTAATAAACTGACATTTAGAAATGCAATTTTTGCAATTTCTGTTTTTTAATCTATATTTGGAGTTTAGGTGTAACTTTTTGAGGTTTTTTATATATATTTTTTTAGTGTTTGGTGTAGTTGGTATTGCGATTTTTGATATTTGGGGACTTCTCTAGTATTTTGAAATTTTCTTTTTATAGTTTAATAAATATTTGCCTGAGACCAAAATTAATCATTTTTGACAAGTTTGGAGGACCAAACCTGTTCAAAAGTATATTCAAGGAACTATGTTGAATCTATCACAAACATAAAGAACCATTTTGTCAAACATATGTTGAGCGTGGTGCACACAAGCACCCTGGGGTCAAAGGGACAACCTGCTGATTTAATTGACCATATTAGCCTCGCATATTTCATATTTTTCAGTACATTCAAGAGACATCCTGAGGCCAATTTGGACAGGCAAGGCAAAAAGTTGGAATCAGTTTTATATGCCAATGCCATGACCAGTTCCATAGTTTGAAACTTGGAAAGTCTAGTCTTGCTTGATCTATGAAATCTTGAGCTAATTTTGCATAAAATTCAAATCTTGGTGGAGTATTAGTAATTGGTTAAAAGATGCATGATTTCTGCTTCACGATCCCTTATGGGTTAATTTTGGTATGTGGTGGTGTCATTGGATATGCCAGCAAAGGAAGCACAGCTTCACTGGCTGGAGGTGCGGGTACTGGATTTGCTCTCATCTTAGCTGGTTACTTGAGCCTACAAGCATTTCACAAGCGCAAAAATTCTTACTTTGCCTTGATTCTTGAAACTGGTATACCCCTTTTCATTTCCTGATCTGGATTGCAATTTGTTGACCAAAAGTTCAGGAAGAATAATGTAAAAGAGTAAGAACATTACCTAAAAATAGCGCAATATGAGTTGGCATGCTTTCATTTCGTTTGATGAAGGTGTTATGCAATCCCATTGACTACTGGTTTTGGAAGAAATACAATCTCATTGAGAAGAAACCAATAGATGGTGGTTTGCATGAGAAATAATGGGATGCCTCTTAAAGTAATATGTAATACCTAGATGCCTCAAATTAGATATAATTCCTTCCTACATGTTACATGGTGAAAGTGGTTTCTTCTGACTGCTAAGTTCATTATTTTTGGCTTGAAATCTTCATTATCATCAATATATCATCGTGTCACGGGCCCAAATCCTTACATTGGGTAGCGGCACCTGCTCGCCCGTGCGGCGCCCGCGGTTCCCCTCGCCGCGGGCCAGCCTTCTTCCT